GTGTCCTTCCTTCTTACAATATTTGCAAGAGAGCTTAGATCGAGCCTGTGGAGAGGGAGCCTGTGGAGAAGTATAATTCATAACAGGAGCAGTGACAGGTACAGACAAAACAGTCTCGAGTGAAGAGGTAGGAGTGTCTGTTGACAAATTGAGTCGTGCTGTCTGCTGCCGGGTCTCATAAGCAGTGAGAGCTCCCATAACTGAGGCCAAAGTCGGAAATTGAGGCTGGTGAAGTAGTTGATCAGCCATAGTTGAATATTCAGGAAGGGACTGAAACAATTGATGCACCTCATGCCGTTCGTACCAGGCTAGCCAGTCTTCATATGTGGAATTACGTCCAGGAAGCATGGAGCGTAACTCTGTCCAAAAAGCTTGCATTTGTCCAAAATGGGACTGCAGAGATGAACTACCTTTGCGTTGTAGAGAAATGCGTTGCAGAAGATATGCCTCCCGTGCACCCGAGCACTCAGTGAAACGCTCAGTGAGACGAGTCCACATGGCCTGAGCAGAGGGAAGCGAGCCAATCTCGACAGTGAGACCAGAGCCAACACAGCGAGTGAGATAATCCATAACACGAAATTCCTGCAATTGCCACTCTGAACTCTCCTTGACATAGAGAGCACGAGCAGTCTGAAGATCGACATCACCACTGCCAGAGGCAATAGTACTGGATGAAGCAACAGTGCTGATGGACGGTGGAACTGGTCCCGTACTGGTGAGATGATCAAGCAAACCAGCGCCACGCAAGGCATTGGTGACAATGGTGGACCACCCTGCCCAGTCACTTTGATCATTGAGGGGCAAAGGTGGTTTGGGAATCTTCTCTGAAGGAGCCATAACAGCAATCTTGAGACGTTAAGATGTCGAGATGCTGTTACTAATGTCGTTCGTTTGAGGCCGAGAGACGGCTTGAAACGACGATGCCGTTAATTTGAGACCGAGAGACGGTCTTGAAACGACAATGCCGTTAAAATAGAACCCGAAGGTTAGAATGAAACCCGAAGGTTTAAAATAGAACCCGAAGGTTAGAATGAAACCCGAAGGTTTAAAATAGAACCCGAAGGTTAGAATGAAACCCGAAGGTTTAAAATAGAACCCGAAGGTTAAACGAGAACGCGAAACGCGTTAAGAGGCCGCAAAACGACAAGGCCAAAATATCTGGCAGATGAACGCCAAATAATTAAAAATAAAAATAAAAAAAATAAAACATTAAACGGCTGCAAAGCAATAAGGCCAAGATTTGGCAAAAGAACGCAAAAGCGTTAAAAATTTTATTGAAAGGGAAATAGCCCTAGCTCTGATACCATGTTAAAGTAAGAGAGAGAGAGAGAATCTTGGGTAAATTTCCCTTGAATTGAATATTGAGTGTGCACATATATTTATACAAGTAGAGGAGTGTGAGGTTTGTTCTCCCAAGCAATGTGGGACTAAAACCCACTACAATACACTATTATCAACAGCAAAGATAGAGGGCCCATCACTTAGAGCAGCTAATATAAATTTGAAGGTTTATTTCTCAAAGTATTGACAGTGTACTACATTCATTTGCTACAAAGTATAAACAATATCCTAACGAATCAGTTTTCAAAGCTGGGTTGTTGGACACGCAGTTTAGTAACAAATTAAGGTAGCACATCCTGATTTACGAACAAAACTATTCATAACAATTTAGAGACTCGTAGGCCATTGAAGTCTGGATCACTTGTACAAGTGTTGGTATAGGTTAAGAAAAGTTCTAGGTTTAACTAAAAACTTAAAAGATGACGTCTTTGCCTTCTCATTAAGACTTTGTTGGACTGCGAACTAGTTCCGGTAGAAATGATAAAATGAGTAATGTTCCTTTTCCAATAAGAAGGGCTATTGAAGGAATATAAGTGCTATCAAGACACAACACACACAAGCTGATTTTTCTTATGCATGCTAGGGGCCATTGAAAATCGTCAAATTGTGCACTCCACACTGTCCGCTTATTTGTTCTTGTATGGATCAACACACATGAAATCAGACTTTTCTGATGCATACAATCAGACATGAAAATCTCCAAGTTGTCCTCTTATTTGTCATTACTAGTATTTAGACCCGTGCAAAGCACGATTTCCAAAAGATTTTCTACAAATATTGAACATCTTACGAAAATAAAGTATTCTGCTTTAGATATGAAGTATAGTGATGGAAGTGAACCGAATAATTAATAAACTGTTCGGTTATTATTCGTCCAAATATTCGCAGAAGTTTATTTCGATAGTTCATTTAGTACTAAACAAATAATTTTTAGTGTTCGGCTTATAAATGAATAGAATCTAACCAAATGTATGTTCGATTTGGTAGTTTATTAACAATTCGATTCGATAACTTTTTAATAGAATTTAACCAAATGTATGTTTGATTCTAATAATGCATGTTATATATGTGTTTGCTTATTAATCATGAAACTAATGAGAAAGTTATAAAGTATTATCTACAGATCTAATCCAAGGAACTCAACTTCAGAGAAATAAATTGAGACAACATTTGTCCTGTGCATTACGATTTGGCCTAATTGTGTGCCAGCATCACATAAAAAAAAGGAGTTGAAGATTTTGTTTTTGTTTTTTTTTTTCATTAAGAGCAGTAGTGTACATGTACATCTACAAATGAGAATTGCAAAAAAGAAAATGCATATAAAAACCACTGCAGAAGCATTCAAAAGCATCACCGACAAATAAACAAATTATAAGAAAACAAATGCTACCAAAAATAGCAAATAAAAAGGAAATCTGAGAATCCAAATTACGCAAGTGCACAAAAATTCACTCTTCTGGAATCATAGTTACATTACAGAGTAGAAGGCACCTGAAGATAACACATAATGACACACATGCTTACACTTG